GCAGCAACGATAGAAGCAGCAGCTGGAGCACCAGTAGCAGCAGCACAGAAGCAGCAGCAGCGGCAGCAGCAGCAACAGCAGCAGCAGCAACAGCACTTTATTAGAAAGACGTACAGCCATAATGCAAGTTGCTGCTTGGTATTCATCTACAATTTGCTGCAGCTCCGGCACTTCGATACAGACGGCGCTGTCTCTGCCTTTTGAGCTGCCCATACACCCCAAGGCCTCTCCGCAGTCATCAATGCATTCTTCTGCAACAACAGCAAAATTTAAATCTCCTGCAGCACAACACCTCCAAATCGGGCTTCTGGTGTCGCTGCTGCTGCTGCTGCTGCTGCTGCTGCTGCTGCTGCTGCTGCTGCTGCTGCCGATGCTGGTGATGCTGTCGATGCTGCTGAAGCTGCCAATGCCAAGGCCGGTGTAGCTGTTGTCGCTGATGATGATCCTGTCGCTGCCGTCATTGCCGTTGCTGCTGCCGTCATTGCCGTTGCTGCTGCCGTCATTGCCGTTGCTGCTGCTGTCGACGTTGCTGTTGCTGTCGACGTTGCTGTTGCTGTCATCGACGTTGCTGTTGCTGCCATCGACGTTGCTGTTGCTGCCATCGACGTTGCTGCTGCTGCTGCTGCTGCTGCTGCTGCCATCACCATCAATGTTGCTGCTGCCATAGCCGTTGTTGATGCTGCTGCTGCCATCGACGTTGCTGCTGCTGCTGCTGCTGCTGCTGCCATCACCACCAATGTTGCTGCTGCCATAGCTGTTGTTGATGCTGCTGCTGCCATCGACGTTGTTGATGCTGCTGCTGCTGCTATCGACGTTGTTGCTGCCATCAATGTTGCCGCCGCTATAGCCGTTGTTGCTATTGCTGCTGCTATAGCCGTTGTTGATGTTGCTGCCGCTGCCATCCGTGCTGCTGCTACCATAGCCGTTGTTGATGCTGCTGCCGCTGCCATCCGTGCTGCTGCCACCTGTGATGCTGCTGCTGCCGCCTGTGATGCTGCTGCTGCCATCCGTGATGCTGCTGCTGCCGCCTGTGATGCTGCTGCTGCCATCCGTGCTGCTGCCACCTGTGATGCTGCTGCTGCCATCCGTGATGCTGCTGCCGCCTGTGATGCTGCTGCCGCCATCCGTGATGCTGCCGCCGCCTGTGATGCTGCTGCCGCCTGTGATGCTGCTGCCGCCTGTGATGCTGCTGCCGCCTGTGATGCTGCTGCTGCCATCCGTGATGCTGCTGCCGCCTGTGATGC